GATGTCCCCGACCAGCTAGTCGAAATATTACGGAACCGTCATGCAAAAGCCTTCACAAGCAGCCTCTTACCCTCTTTGATCCACATCATCGTTAACGAAAAGGATATGGTGATCTGACATGCGAGGTGCGAGCTGGGGTGGCGCACAGTCCCCTTCTCTCGCTCTCCCGGTAACGAATTGCCGTTTACTCGTCACAGTTCACCCACCCCATCGTTGCGTTGTCACGCACCGCCGAGCGGATTTCTGGAAGCGAACAACGCCGCTGCCTCAACATCTCCATGGGTTGAGTGCCCATTGTATCTGTTTGACCAGGAAGGCAGCTCAAGTATTTCACATAGTACTTGACCGAGATAAGTGCATGTAAGTACATTGGGACCAAGCATGGGTGAATGTCCGGTCATGGTGAGCCATAGCCCAGAAGACCTCCAGCCATCACCTTCCTTTCCGTGTGGCGTCTTGTCTCTCTACTTCCGCCCCTCATCGTTGGCGTTGACCGGGTCCTTGCGACTACAAGACTGGCGCAGCCTCGGGCCTTCGAAGTGCGTTTGCCTCTTTGGGACAGCTGCGACTCCGTCCCGAGAGATGGAACAGGGTAGCCTGCCCATTCGATGTGTAGCATGGATGAATTCAATGCACTGTACATCAGATGGAGACCCAGAGTGTCCTAATGTCTCCAGACCCTCTCTCTGGGACCAATCCGAAGACTTCCCGCTGCTACGCCATGCAATAATGACCCTTCCTTTTTGTGCCGGAGATCTGAGCCCTTGGCGGCCGTTGCTAGTCTCACACTTCGGTTCGACTGAGTTGTTCTTTGATTCGATCCATTAAAAATTTTTTTCTGCCTTTGGGGAGAGGAGGGAATCTATCAACCCAAGACTAAGACATGGTCTAGGAATTTCTCAAGTTGCAATGGGCGATAAGAAGTGATAAATATCCCGGGACCTCGCCAATCTGTTTTTATGTGTGTAGTCATCAGGTGGCGGGACGTCATTTGTGATGTAACCTATGATGAAGGTCGGGACGGAGATGAGATGCAAAGAATGACGATTTTTGTGGTGAGTGGACAGTAACAGGCGGATGACTACCGAGTAGGTATGAAGTAGTAGTTACTAGAGGCCTTGGTGAGGATGAGTACTTCAAAGCCGCCTTTTCCCTTGGGACCATCACCGCATCCCCAGTCACCTTCCAGTTGAGCGAGAGTGGGCTGGCTCCAAGGCAGCTTCAATGACCGGTGCACATCAATTCTTCGTCAGGGGCGGAGCCGTGGTTGGATGGTTGGGCTCCACCGCTGGCAGCCAACCCCTCAATCAATCCGTCCGTGGATGGTGTTCACGGGCCAAGCGCTGTTTGAGAGATGGAGGAGGGGGGCTTGAGGGAGTGAGTGGTCTGGAGAAACAGACAGATGGACCGGCCGACCGAGGGACATCATGGGATGGAATTGTCATCCCAAGAGAGCGAGATGGTCCGACGCTCCACGAGTCTTCCGAAGAATGAGGAAGGAGGATGATCCCGAGGGGAATCTCTCCAGCCTAAAGAAGATCCGGTGACCTCGGATACATGATAATCACTCCACGCCCACTCACTTGCTGCTGCTGCTGCAGTGCTGCAATACCGTCTCTCTTTCCAATCTCTGTCTGTCTTCCCATACCAGGACCCGGCGGCTCACACGCTCATTTCCTTATACCAACAAATACCCGACACAGCCTCCTTCCTCCTCTACTAGGTCTTCCTCTCACCCAAGCGAATCCTTACCCCCGCGCGATTCCCATCCACTTAATTTGATGTTCATGGTCCTGCAATAATAATATTAGATATCTTGGGGTTGAGCAGGAGTGGGTAGGTGTGGTCTTAGGATCTCATCTTAATATAATCAAATATAACTATTATGGATACCCCAGTTTAAGAGCTCCACCTTTTTCGCTCCCATGGTACAGGGACGAAGACTATTGCTACACTAGATCTACAACGATGGGCTAGAGTCGAGGGTCAGTACAGTAGTCTCCCCCCCAAAAGTATGACTGGTAGAAATTATTACCACCTACTTGTACCTGGTTCAATCGATCTGACAGCGCTGGCTGACGTCCTCCACCAGCTGGACTGCACCGACTGCTTCCTACCAGTACCAGCCACATAACCCTATCCTCATCAGTCCCATTGGATCTAGCTGGACTGTATCTGCATATCCCCAAATTATCCTTTAAACAGCTCTCTCTCCGAGTCTCCACGTCAATCCTTCCTTTAAGTCCTTGGCCCCTTCCCGAGTCTATCCGTCCTTTCCATCCTCCACCATCACCAATCTTTCCCTCCCCAGAGCCTATCTCTCGGGTACCTGCCATCATCACTCACTTCCAGCCTCATTTGGCCCTTGTCACATTTTACGTTTTATCTTTCTCGGACGATCCACTCTTCTTCCTTCGCTGTAGTTTAATGATCACACTCTGCTAGTGTCTCGTGTGCTCTGGTTGCGTGCCATTGTGTCGGGAATATCTTCGTCGTTTCGTGTTTGCATCACTCGGAAGACAGAAGACAAGCAGGTGGGTGTGAAAACCTACCCAACCGACTAGAGAAATACCACGCGCGCAAGCCGAGCAAGAGGGAGCAAGACAGTTGCGCAAAAAATAACGAACGTCGAAATTAGCTGCTCCAGCTAAGGTTGTGTCCCCCAAAGAGTGAGGTGAAACGGGGTACCTGCTTTTCTCATCCCAGCCGGGTTTGCCTCAATTTCTTCAGTAAGTCAATCAGTCAGTCAGTCCCCTGAACCAGGATCAAGGTGAGGGAGTCCTCTATGGAACTCCCAATTCCCACCCTCCACTTGCCCGACCATCCATCATCCTCTTCTACGCATCATCATTATGTATGACTTGAGTTCGGTTCCTTTTTTTTTTCTTTTTGTTTTCCCTTCTTCTGCCTTTCTTCCCTAAATTCCCTCGTGGATGCCAATGTCACTAGTGAGAGTCGTGTGTCATCTATTTCATGGTTCCATATTTCCTCCTCACAGGCACTCTCTCTGCCTGCTCTGCTCTGCTCTGCTCCGCTCTGCTCTGCTCTAGGTCTATACTCCCTCTTCTCTCAGTCGCTGCTCTAATTCTCTCTTTTCGGTCCTTGTAATATCTACCCGTGACCCGGGCTGTTGCTCCTTTGGTTTCTATCTCTATTTTTGGCTGTATGATTCACAAGTCCTTCCCTTTACATCTCCCCCGGGTGGGTTTTGCCTTCTGGACTGTCGGCCCTTACCGTCTGGCCATCTGGGTTGGGGAGAGGGCAAGGGAAGTTGATGGACCCGCGATGGGCTTCATGGGACGGGGAGATCCACCGTCGCCAGTCCTCTGGCGGGCTCGTCCTCCTCCTTGGGATCACTAGTTGCACCCACCCATCCGCCTTTCGTCGCTCCCTCTCTGGCTCTGCTCGGGCCTACCAGTCTGGGTCGCCCCGCTGCACGCCGGTCGCTCGCTCTCAATGACTATTCTAAGAGTAGAGAGAGCAAAAAAGAGAGAGAAAGAGAGCCCCGGGGAGTGAGTGAGTTGAGTATTGAGAAGGTGATGGGGAGGAAATCTCTCCGGCCTGCCTGTCGGACGGACTCTTGACTCTCTTAGCAGAGGCAAGACCGTCTGGCCGTTTGGCGTTCCCTGCAACCCGCTCCATGCCCGGCTCTGGCCTAGTTTGACTGGCCTTTCCACCCATTCATCGCCTGCGATGTTTCCTGGTTTTTCTGATCACCAGGAAGGGGGGGCGGTCGCCTCGACCTTTTCTTATTTTATTTTTTTTTTATTATTCTCCTCATATTTTTTTTTATTATTTCATTCCCTATTTTTTTGGGGCTGAGGGGGAAAATGATTTTTTCCTTTTCCTTCTCAAATGAAATAATAGTGGTTGATTATTATTATTATTTTTTTTTTTCATTTTCTTACCTTTAATCTCTTTCTTGGTTCATCTCCCCATAGCCATTACTAAAGCGCTACTCTAAAGAGAAGGGGAAACACCAGAGAGTGAGAGAGAGCAGAGCAGAGCAGAGCAGAGCAGCTGGAGATCTTCTTACCATACCTTACCTGGGGAATCCACCAGTGCCTGCGAACATTATATTCTTCCCCCGTCTGGGCTACTTTAATTCTATGTCTCTCCCCTGCCATGATCATCATCAACATCATCATCTTTATTCCTATTGACCACCATCATCATCTCTATACCTATTCTACTACTTATACTCGTTTGGTTGTATTCTAGTCCACTGACCTACCTTCCTCTTCCTGTTCTACCTTTGGGCTTGTTAACCTATCGTCCCTTCCTACCATCGGGAACTCTTTTTGTTCCGCCATCTGCATACCATCTGAAACACTTCTTATCTCATCTTCACGTTCAGTTAATTATTGAACACATTGTCTTCGCATGGCACCGGTGGCTGTTGTGAATCTCGGTGTGAATAGATTGGCTTACATACTTGCTCCGAAACAGGCGCCGAACAGCACATCACATCCAGCGTAAGCTGAGCTGGACACACTCTCTTTCTTCCATTTTCTTATCTCCTCATTGTTTTCCTTTTTGTTGTGTTGTTGTTGTTGTTTGTTTCCCTGACCTTTCTCCTTCAATCTCTTGATTCTCATTCTCATCAATCATCAATTGAGTTCACCATTCAACCTTGGACCGAACGACTTAAACTCCCTGTCAAAACGGGCTTCGACTTGCCAGCAGAAAGCTTGGGAATTCCCGCAGCTTGGTCAGGTTGGAGACTCAACCTACTCGATCCGATCGCTATCCGTGGAACCGGAGCTCCAGTCGACCCGGAAAGTCACTAGGGCCAGACGCTGCTCTCTCCAGATCCCACCTTTCTTTTACGAGGATTGATTTGAGAAAGGACGGGCCCGTGCTCGCTGTCGATCCGGGTCACCCAAGTCTGGTGGTCCTTAAACTCAGAAGAGGGGGGTTTTAAACTTGCGCCATTGACCCTCTCCTACGGTTCGCCCTCGACGTGAGCTTCTTCGACTTGTCATTCTCTCCCGACTCTTTCCATTCCCTCCCACCACTTCCTCCCCCCTCCCCTCCCTCCAAAAAGGCTATTTCGCCTCCCCCTCCCTGTTTTCTGGCGCTTCCCTGGAGGTTTCCTTGAGTCCTCTCCCCCATCATCCTGTGCGTGTGTCGCATACTGGCATCAGACAGTGGAAGCGAAACGAATTCCCGAGCGAGAGCCTTTTGGCAGCTGTCATCTGGAGATCCTTCTTCTTGAATCTCCTCACGGCTGTTCGTTCCTTCTTTGCTTTTCGAATCCGAACATCCAGTGATACACCCTGGTCGACCTAGCCCTGTTGCTGGGAAACCTTGATCATCGGTGGTCTTAACTTTGATCGGATTTACCTCCTTGGACCCTTTCGACTAGGTTCGAACCTTCAAACAAAGGCAAACAATGGTCAACGGCACCACCACGGTGTTGGAGCCCACCTTTATGGGATATGTTGCATCAACACAAGATGCACTGATTCTGTTCGAGGCCTGTCTGACTGGTGTGCTGCACCATGTCCCTCGTCGGCCGCACGATCGGGAACGGAGTCATCTGGTCCGCAGCGGTAGCGTTTTTATCTACGAGGAGAATTCGTCAGGGATCAAGCGATGGACGGACGGAGTGACCTGGAGTCCCAGTCGCATCCTGGGCAACTTTCTAGTGTATCGAGAGCTGGAGAAGCCGTTTCCGCCAGGTGAGAAGAAGCGAGCGATGAAGAAGGCAAACCGACGTCCGGTGCCGTCGACGCGACCGGGGGAGCCGTATCCGCGACAGGAAAGTAACGGGGCCTATTCTCCTTCCTCAACAGCCGGACCTTTCGGCGATAGACCGCATCAGTCCGACGTGGAACGAGCGCTGGTCGGCTCGCTGGTCGATTCGTACGGCTTCAAGGATTCGGGCTTGGTCAAGAAGACGATGAGCGTAACGGTCTCGGGTGTGACGCATCACCTGGTGTCTTATTACAGCGTGGACGACGTGATGCGGGGGTTGCTGAATCCGCCGTCGATGGTCGATTCGTTGAGATACATCCGGCCTCGTGCAGAACTAACGCAGAAGCAAAGCTTCCGGGCCCCAATCGATGATCTGGAATCGGGAGGTTTGGAGAATGCGAATGACCAGTCGCATGCTTTGTACGGATACCGACCTCACCTGGTTGCGCCTCCAGGCTATGCGATGCCTAACCCTCACCCTGAATTCTACATGCACGCAACGCCTTATGCTGCGACCCATCCGCCACAGTCTACGCCCATTGCTGGATACTCTATGGGAGGATCGATTCCGGCTCAATCCGCTCCCAATCCTTACCTACCTGCACCGTCCGCTCCTACTCAGATCCCACAGAAGCCGGAGGACTATACGCAATTTAGACAGCCTTCGTATGGCACCAGTTTCGACGCACTCGGCCACAATCCACTGTCCTCGTCGATCCCGTCAGCCCTCAGCACGGGCATGCCAAGTTCTTTGAGTGACCGCAACCGATCCCATTCCGACCATAGTCCGTCAGCGTATCGCAACTCGTCAATATCCTCACGCAGCGTTGTCACCGATGCGACGTCGCCCATCGATCCTTCAACTCCTGCTACATACTCGCGAGGTGGGAGCTTCAGTCTGGGACCACTTGACGGAGCACATCAACATCTAGAACAGCGAGGGATGGGGGGATTTGATCCCGGTATCTCACGCCGGGAGTCGGGCCCCATTCCTACACCTTACTATACGGGCGGGGACCGACATCAGTATTACGTGGGGGCCACGGCCCCGGGCGCACATACCGGGTATCCAGTGTCGACGTGGACCACGGCAGCACCCGCGCAACCTCAGATTTGAAGTTCCTTGTTTTTCCTTTTTCTTTTTCTTTCATTTTTGTTTCATGTTGATTTCGCTCGTTTAGCCTTCACTTCTCCCAAACCCACTTTTTCCTTATACGTTTTTATTCTCCAGAAGGGCGGCAATTTGGGAATAGACTATGCATATATGCTGAGGATGATTACCCGGATGAAGAAATCGCTCTAGAGGAGGTATGGGTGGCTTTGTCTTTTTCTTCTCTTTCTTTCTCTTTGACAATGACGATATGATGCAGATCAAAATACCTGTCTCGCCTTTCTTTTTCTGTTCATTTGGGGGTTTTTGATTTTCTGCGAGGTTTTTTTTTTCCCTTTCATGTGGTCATGAGCAATAGGTTGGTTGGCTTGGGTGGCATGGTCCTGGGGCGGTTATCTGAAATCATTCTTATTGCTATTGCTGTTACTGGTTGACGATGATCATGCTATCATATTTCTATTGTTACATGTTACATAAGGGCCGTTGGTCGTGTACATTGAACAGCAATGGATAGGTGCTATCACTTGGCAGTTGTGCTTGAGTATGGTGTCTCTGTAGGGATTGGGGATGCGAATGCCTGTCACATCGAGAGGTGAGTAAGGTATACCCCTTCCGTTTCATATATCAGTGTTCCGAATAATCATTTTTCTTTTTACCAGCAAGTTAACCTTTCCCTAGTCATGCAATTCAACTCGTCTACTCGTCTATCCTGTGGAAGCCAAACAATCACAATAATGATAATAATGAATAATCATCTTTCTATCTCATTCACCACCTCACCACCTCAATTCAACCGCAAAAACTCCCCATAAGCCCCCAATCTCGCCCCGATCGGCAAACAATCCACAATCCCCTCCGCCCAAGCCGCCAGCACGCCCGCCTCGCGCTCCACATGCAACCGCACCTTGCCCCCCGGGAACTCGAACCGCCACAGCCCGCTACCGTTCAGGGCAGTCTCCGACGGCCGCACCTCGCGGTACAGCTGCATCCACTCGCCGCAGATCAACACCGCGTGGATTGCCTGCTGCTGCTGTTGTTGTTGCTGCGGCGGTTCCTCATCCCGCGGGCGCGGGTTCAACCGTCGGATCTCGTCGATGCATGCTGCTAGGATGGATTCCTGGGCCGCCCAATCGTTATAGCCTGGGTATGATCTTGGGTCGTGGATCTTGGGGTTGGTGGTTTGTTCTGGGGCTGCGGGGATACGTATGGTTATGGTCGTGGTGTTGGGCCTGTTGGGGCTGTGGGAGGGCCGGAGATGGTCTAGAACAGGGGTGTTGGAGGTTGGGTAGAGGGCTGTGGGGAGGATGAGGGTTAGGTATTTCTTCTCAGAGGAGAGGGCCATTCTTTCTGAATTGGGCTTGGTGAATCTGGTGGGATTCTGGTGGTCAGTTGGGAGGTTTTTGGATAATGATGGGCATGGTTTCTTGGTGCTTTTATATTGGGGTTGGGTTGGTTTTTCCGGCACGCTTCTCCTGCACTTTGTTTGTCCTTTCTTGCTTTGGGGTGTAGGTTTGGCTTGTCATGTTGATGGTGGGTTTCTTCTCTTCGCTTGGTTGCTTGGTTCTTGGTTCTCGTGCTTGGGTATGTAGGGAAAGCTGTTGATAAATACTATGTTATTTGGTTGCTTGGTTCTTTGTGCTTAGCGGGGTTGGTGGGATTACCCTGTGGATGGATTTAGATACTGGGTTGAGGTTGAGGGCTTTGTTGATGGTGCTATCGATCTTTTGGTTTGTCGTTCTCGGAGATTTTCTGTTATTTTCTGTTAACTTGTTCTGTCATCGACTGTTTTGGTTAACTCAACGCGGCTAGATAGTAGTTACTATACTCCATTCCATATACTAGCTGAGAGGAGGAGAAAGAGCTGAGACTAGTCAGACTGGATAGGGGAGAGAATCTCAAGCTACTCAGTTTACTTAGGCATAGATGGAAAGTCTGATAGTTTCACCCATGTAGAATATAGATATGAGCCTCTGAGCACGAGACAACAGAGACGATGGTCTATCACTGTTCCCTGATCCGAATCCTAAGCATACTCATATAGATTGAGTGAAGAGATTCGGCTCGCTAGACTCGCAGAACACTCGCAACCAGAATAATCTGAAACTGCCGATTCACCACCACAATATTCATTATCAGACTCAACATATACAGACCTCTTATCAACAGATACCCCACAGCGATACCCAGGAACTGCTGATTGAGCATCAATCTACATCTGTTATTAATCCAGTCCTCGCTAGTGGAGGAACAAGGACCAGCTCCCCACCAGTAATTCACCGAGTGGATAACCATGGATGGGGAAAATCATTTAGGAGCTGTAAATTGTCCCCGCTTCAGCAGCTGAGTTGAAGCCGAGTTCTAGCCTGGAGAACTCACCTTCCTATTCTAGTAACTGGTCCAGATCCACAGCTATTCTTGTTGGAGTAGGAGAATATGGCCGAGTTTGATTCCCCAAGGACACTTCACTGGATCTATACCTAGCTTGAAGAGTGGGGGGTTTAAGATTGTAAGATTCAGTGAGACTACTCGATTCAAGATCCTAGGTCTCTATTATCAAACGTATAGTATAGCTACCCCAGTGGAGACCGGAATATCTATAAGTAGATGTGATCGCGATCACTTGCAATGACAGGAATAGAGACGAACCGCAGATTTGCCGTGCACATATCGATCACTACCCACAAGCGACGACCAGTGGTAGGCCTGCTTCCATCCATTGTAGCATCGCAAGACTCCCAATGAGAGTTCCATCCTGATCCTCGACGTCAAAGAACGACCCTTCCCTGACGAGAACAATGCTGTGCGCGAGCTGGACACTTTTAAGCTACCTCTTCCCAGCGATTTAATCAGCCTTTAAGTATACCTACCTAGCATCAACCGCATCTCCAATCTCCAACACTCAAAACAAGAACCACCCTCCTCACAAATTCACCGAAATCCTCAAAACAAGCTATACAAGGTAAGATGGAACGCAAACCTGAATCCATGACCGCAGCCCCGGCGCCAGTCCCCCATGCAAGCAATGAACCACGTAACCCGTCGTCCTCCTCCTCCTCCTCCTCCTCCTATTCTCCCTCACCCCCATCCTCTTCCTCCCACCATCGTCGCCGCTACCGCCACCATCAATACCACCACCACAACCACCCCCGCCATCGCACCTCCCACCCCTACCAAAACCACCAAGCAACCACCCACCTAATCACACCAACCGCACCAATCACAAAGCTCACCGTGCGCGGGATCCCGCTCCGAGCCATGGCCTGGCCCATCAGCGAGCGGCACCTGCGCCGGATCTTCTCGTCCCGACGACGCCAGCAGCCGCACAAGCCCGCGGCCTTCTTCGGCGCCATCTCCTGCGGTAGCCGACACGTGCGGCTGTACCGCGAGCTGCGGGTGCGGTGAGTCCTTGCTGGGGAAGCTCGAGGGGGAGGGGGAGGTGGTGCTGTGCCGGGCGGGTTTGGTCCGGTATGAGCGCTGCGAGGGACGCGGCGGCGACGCTGGATCTGCGGTGGCCTGCGGATGTGGAGATCTTGCGGCTTTGGGCGTTGTCGGTGCCTGAGGATGGCGGGTTGGTCGAGAGGTTTATGGATTTGTTTGTTGATTGGGGGGGGG